TTGGGGGGGGGGGGGGAATGAGTCTCTGAATCAAAATACCAGAGAAAACCAGAGGTGGAACAGCTTGCTAATAGCTAAAGTAGATCCATTTATCTGAATTGTAGTGGAATTCGACTGAAGAACATGACATCCCTAGGGAAAGTCAAAGTAATGGCATAGGAACACACAACTTATGCTAGGGATGGACAAATCAGTCTACATTGATTTGTATCCCTGCTACACGTTCTTGTCCCATGGGCCTAACTGCTAATTTCTTTCTTTTTAAAAATGCACAAAATTATTATTCCAATCGGCTTTCAGAACCATATTTTCTCTCAAAATAAGCAGTTTTCAAAACACGTTGATGCATTTTTTTTTGAAAAGAGAACATGCAGGAAGCATGAAAGCTGCTGTTTTAGTCCACACATCAGATCGAATTAGTTCTTGATGAGAATTTGCCAATTCCTCCCATGGATGTACCAGATTTTAACCAATGTGGCCTTCTCTAAATAGGTTAGGAGTTGGTACCAGGACTGGGAATTCTCTGTTAAGAGATTTTCAGCATACTTCACTCCTTTTAACAATAGTTCCTTGGGAGCAATCAGACGATAGCCATTTCAGAAAGGGGTGCAGATGCTTCCCTAGCCGTTGACTCAACTCTCACCTCAACCATGAATTCATTATGAGGTGTCCTTAATATCTTTCCCTTAGCCTCTTCAGTGGGAACAGAACAATATCAGCCTACCTTATACAAGGATTGCAAATGCTATTGAAATAATGCAACTTGCCAGCTATATCAGAATAGTTTATTTGCAACTTTAAGGAAAAAATAGGCAGTGATAATAAAATTATAGACTACTATGAGAAGAAAACATACTTCTCTTATATCTGGCATCGGTGTTTCCCTCCTATGTATGGGCTAGTTTTCACTTAAATGAGAAAGCTCTGTTTGCTAAAGATGCATAACACAAGCTAAATTCAGTTTGCCTCATAGGGCAAAATGATCATTACTCTATTTATTAACTTGTTTTTTTTTTAATTTACTTCTACCCCGCCACAATCAAATAATTATTGGCAGCATGTAGGCTATATAAATAAAAATTAAAATATCCATGCTGAGGTTAAAAACCAACCAAAACAGCCTAAGAATGATAGCAATAAACATTAGCCCCCATGTAGAAACAAAAACAAGATCAAAAATTAAAACAAGAATAAACTTTTTAGTCACACATATATCCCTAGGAACACAAAAACATACTGAATCTCACTATTACTCTTGTTTTAAAAGCTTTTAAAACTGGCTGGGGATGCCGGCTGGGGAATTCTGGGAGTTGAAGTTTACCCATCTTAAAGTTGCCAAGGTTGAGAAACCCTGGCTTACACAGTCCTAAGGCTTAGTGCTGGTTTGGGCAGTTGGATGCAAACTGCTGAGTGGGAATGAGAAAAGCTATACCCTTAGATTCTCTTTCTTACAAAACTATTTTGAAAAGACTACACAACAGTCTTGTCCTCCTTTACATCTGGAGACGTTGGGTTGGTTGATGACTTCATGCTCCTCAATGGAGGACTGATTGTGACAATGAGCAAGTAAAAGCTGCCATCTAAATCAGGCGCCATAGACGGAATTCCTGTTTTTATCAGACCACTGCAAGAAAAGTGATTTTCCAACTAGCCTTGCTCCTCAAAGCGATCCTCCTGACCCACCACTTGCAAGATAACCACAGGGACCTTCAGTGACAGAGGCATAATAATTGAGAGGACCACAGTCTCTTGGAGGAGAGCACCTTGTGTCTCAGAACACAACTGCCAACTGCAGGAGGTGGGCTCAAATGACAAAATGCTCCTCTTTACCATACTGTTTCCTCCACATATGTAAGGTATAATGCAAATTGCAGATTATCGAAAAAGAAGGTGGTTGACTGCAGACGTACCAAAATAGAAAAGACTGTCACTTCTTCGCCTGAAAACGTATCCAGTGGCACGTGGTCCATTTATATCTGCTCCCTTCTCAAGCAAAGCTTTCACCAAGTCCAGGTTTTTGTTTATCACAGCTATGTGAAGAGCTGTCTCCCCTGAAATATACAACATTAGCAAAGACCCTTGTAGACCCTTGAAATTCCATATATATATATATGTGTGTGTGTGTGTGTGTGTGTACACACACATACATATTAAAGTATATGCTTAGGCATGCATTTTCATGGACTATAATCTATTTCATCAGATTATCATGGCCTCTAGTGACACTGACTCCAGAAAGTCATCAAAACTAATCATTAGTCTTTTTCAATTGCGATCCTTTGAATTGAATCCCATGTTGGACCAAGAAGTGCTACTAGCCACTGATCTTAACTAATAGATCTCAGATTTTTCTTATGAAGAGGGAGCCCCCAAAGAGACTTTTCCTGTCTGTTTCATGAAATCTATAGCCCTCACACATCTAAAAGAAGTTGGCATTACAGAAAAAGCCTGCAACAAGAAGTAGTAGGCTTATAACAAGGCAAATTTTGGCAGTCTATTCAAAGGAAGGACTAGGGCTAAAATAATTGCCTGCATTCTAGCTAAAAGATTGGGTTTTGGACCATAGAGAATCTAATCTGGTCCATCATATCTATTGAGACTTTGTATTCTGCTTCAATCCAGATTGCTCTAATTGTCTTCCTCTAGGCAGCACCTTCTCTCCCTGATGGGACCAGAAGAGAAATGAGGACAACTGTACTCCACAAAATACAAAGTTACAAGAATGTTGTTAGACTTTAAGGTATTGTAAAATTCTCTGTTCTTTCCTCTGCAACAGAAACTGGTTATTCCTCTGGAAACTATGATCAGCCTCCTGGGCAGCTTTTGTATGATGAATCTAGTTTATAAGTTAGTAACTCATGAACAACATAAATACATATTTTAAATCACTTATAGTTTATATCAGCCTCATGCATTTTCAAAGAAGTTCATCTGGGTTAAATGCAGAAGGGAATTGAATTTGATTCAGTGTTAGTACGGAGGCTGGATTTAATTATTAATGCAATTGCAAAGTTAATTGCCGTTAAAAATGAATACTCAGGTTCTCATTCAAGAGTTTTAATGTTTAATGCACTGCTTAATATTCCATCTTGAATTTCTTAGAAGATACTTCTCAGGGGCCTGGTATGAGGCAGTGGCAAAAAGGCTGAACTGTGAGGTCCTTGATTCAGATCCCTCCATGAACTCCCTAAATGGTCTAGGGCATCTGTTCTTAGCATCAGCACCTACATTGACAATATGGAGCTAACAATACTTTCCTACTTTGAATATGTAGTACTTTAAGTTACACTATTATATCCACTTACATTATGATATCATCAGTTGTATTTTTTATTCCTTTTGTAATAATCTCTAACATGGAATTAGTCTTCTTTTGCTATTGTCTTAACACTGAGGATTCTAGGGATTCCACCAGAATCAGAAAAATGTCTTTCCATCAGAATCACAAACATTTCCATCAGAACTGCAAGCCTGGATTGCTTTCACTTACAATGAGTCATTTTGTTGTCCATGTATATAATTTAGTTCTTTCCATTTCTTTTTGTTCTTATCATTTGGTGTCATTTGAAAATTCAAATACTTCACTGTTCATCTCAAATTTCAAATTGTTTATGGAACAAGTAAAACATTGGTTTACAACACAGATCAGGTGCTCAGACATACTGCCACTTTAAACAAAGCAAATTACATTTTCAGATGCACACTCAGTTTATATGGCAAGTTATTAGCCAAGTGAGCTATAAACATGTCCCATACGTCTCAAACACATATCCTATAACATACCCAATATTTCACTGTTGCTGGGCATTGTAGAGGAAAATTGGACCCATATGGCTAAATTATCACAATTTATTGTAGAATAGGTTGCCTGTATGCATCTAAAGTCACTCTTCTCAACTGCTATTTAGCTCTCATGCTCAATAAAATATGCATTGAAGTGCAGCCTTCACATGGGAAAGTCAGCCTCTGTACATTAACCCACTGAGATGGTGTTCCACCATGCCTTACTGTCATCTGAAGACTTGGAAGTGGGCCTGCATAGTAATTGGGGAAAAGTTATGGAACATCCTGCCATGAGTAGTTCCATTAGTTTTTTTTTCTATAGTTAGGTATCATGAAAAGACCTAGTTCTATTTCAATAGAGTTTCAGAAAAATATATTCTGGGATTATTTATTTTTTCCCTTTTGTGAGCAGAAACATGATTAATTATGTTTATGATCACTGATTTTTTCTTCACTGAGATTTTATTCATAGCGTGAGACATAAATCCAAAAATCGTAACAATTACCAGCATACAGCTCAGAGGTCACAGGTTCATTCACAAGTTCTGGAGCTGCACTGATCAGGAGCTGAGCAGCTTCTAAGTTATTGTATAATGCAGCTACATGAAGAGCTGTCTCCCCAACAGCACCTACAGACAGGGTCAGAGAAAGAGAAGATGTCATGTGACATTGCAGTGATCTGGTGAGGGTCCCCCTAGAGATAGCCACAACTAGTTTACACATGGCAGTTGTGTTTACAGATCACAACAGGTATAGTGCTGACCACTTCTATTCCTCAGATCTCCTGTCATCCAAAAAGCAGTATGTGGCCTCTCTCCTGACAGGCGATGTGAATGCTCCTGAAGCAGGACTTAACCACACACGTGCCTTCTGGATTCATGAGGGGCAAAAATTCTGTTTCCCACAAGGAAGGCCAGGAAGTTCGAGGCATTTAGCCATCCTGCTCCTTGGCACACACCAACCAACCGCACATGTCTACCACCATCACTTCTTCACTCCAAACTGTGCTTTCTCTTAATAGGCAACGGGGCCATAATGAGTAGGTTGGACCACTACCTCGTTCATGAAGATCACAGGTATGGCTAGCTACCAGCTTCCGGATGGCTGAGGCATCATTTTCTTTTGCAGCTAGGAGGAGGGGAGATTCACAGATCCTGAACCAAGGAGGAACAAAAGGTAACAAATTCAGAATACTGTAGGTTACAATTCACATAGGAATATCTTCTCATCATATCAGCTGTTGTCTTTCTAAACTAGGAAAATTATTTTTAATCATAAAGCAATGAAAAAAAGCCAAGAAATACAGATATATATTAAAGATGGTATGCTACCATCTTTAACAGGTCATCTTCAATCAAAGGCCTGCCATTTTTTAATTTTAAAAGGTGGGAGTGTTATTTTGCCTAAACATTATATAGAGGACTTAACATGATAACTCAGCTAGACTCTTCCTCTCAATATCTACAAACAGAACCAGTGGTGGCACAATGGTTCTGAAATTCCCCATGGTTTCAGAAGAAATTAACTTCAACTATCTTAGAACTCTTCCAAAAAGTCACATTAAAGTGCTATTCACTGATCCTTGAGCGGGTGGGAAGGTATGCCAGCATAAATTGTGCTTCCCCACTGCCACTCTTTAAAATCGAGCCGGTGAAGAGTATTGTCCTTACACATCTGTTGCGGATCAAGTTAAAGAAAAGAGTTGATGGATGCTCCCAGCTTCATTTCTGCTGGTGAGGAAATGACTCCCCAATCACACTTGCTAATGTGGAGTAGAATGGAACTGAGCAATAAGCGGGTGCTTAGAAAAGTGCATGGCCCAACTAACAGGTCACGGGTACAGTGGGGTGCTCAGGATGAAGCACTTCCAGTGCTCGTGCTCAGCACAATGGCTGCTCTGCACTTGTGACCTTTGGGCTATTTCTGAACAGGGGTCTAGTTCTGAACAACAACTAAACCCATCTTTAAAAATAGACTACAATGGTTCCTCTAGTTACGAACTTAATCCGTTCCGTGACTCTGGTTGCAACTCGAGTTGGTTGCAACTCGAGT